ATACCCAAATGGAACATATTAATTCTTTGGGGAAATCTCCTTAGTCAGACAAAAAGAAGTCTTTTCAGCTTCCCAGATACATGCTCTGTTCCCAGTACCATCAGACTGAAAGAAGAATCTGCATTATGTTGATCTGGAAGACACAGTTTCTAACTCCAACTGCAAGGTTTAGATAAATAACTTCTTTGATGCAGCTGCTCAAGCTTTCAAGTTTTGGCATGTTTATTAATGAAAATGAACGAGAAAAGAAAGAAACAGCCAGGCAAGATGCCCCTGTAACTCTGCTGTCATCATTAGGTGAATATGGTTTACCAAATATTTATGCTTCTATATGATTCAGATCACAGAAAATAAATAGCACTTTTATGTGTTTTATTTTCTTTGGAGAAAGAAGTGGAGGAGAGTGTGAGTCATAGTGGAAGAATAAAATCTATTTCTTTTCTGACAAAAGCTGCTTGTTTTGTGAGAAAAGGATCCTAGCATTAACTTCAGTTTGCTGATAAGCTCTGGAGCCTGACTGGCTTCAAAAAGAAGTGATGTCCTGCCAGTCCCCAGTCTGTACCTGTCTGGTGACCCATGGCAAGAAGCCAAATCATATTTCTTACTCCTGCTGGGCATAAGATAATCAGTGCTCCTAGCCGGGTCTGAATGCAGGCTGCTGGTGCACCCTTGCAAGGATTTCTGGTGAGCAGAATTTTGACCCTTCACACTGTAACATATCCTGCCAGCTGCAGCCTGACTTCTGAGCATAGGGCTGGTCTGAGGAATCTTGGAAGGTTAACATCAATATGTATTAGTGTATGAACAATGTTATTTGCCTACTTTAAAAAAAAACCACCCCATTTTATTTTTTGTTACAATCAGATTGAGAGGGTTCTCTTCTTAGGCAGCTGAGAAGGGAAGTGACATGGTTATGGGAACTCCTGAGGAGGTAGTCAGTGGCTGATCTGTCCTTTGTACTCCTTGCTGTGCCCTCCAGAGTGTAGAAGAGATAGAAAAGGTGCAAGATACAGGGTCTGATGATTCTCTGCTCCCAAGATAGTGAAGGATCAGGAACTGACACTGCCTGTCCAACCATCCTGAGGTAGGGAAAGATTGTTTACAAGGGAGAAATGATCTTCATGTTGCTTTCTATAGACTTTCTTTACAACTACCAACCTCAAAGCATTTGTTGCCATGGCAGGGAGGGTGGGCTAGATGACCTTTAAAGGTCTCTTCCAACCCAATCTATTCTATGGTTTTACAATTCTGTGATTTTCCTAAAGACAGATATTCATATGAAGGTGCTAAAGCCTGTGAGGTGACAAGGGACAAAAGGTTTTATGTATGTCCTGGTGAAATTAAGACTATATTTAAAAATGTGTGTGTATATAATTCCTTAAAGAACTTCACAAGACAGGAAAGTATCTGTCATTTTTGTGAAATAATTTTCATGTGTATTTTTTGCCATAAAGCAGTTACTGCCAAGGCTAGACAAACTTTAGAGATGTTCTACCTACATAAACTCCAAAGCAAAATGCTGTTTTTCAGATGTTAAGTTGCTCTTTTCTGAGTGGAGATATCATAGAATTTATTCAAAAGAGTAATCACCTAAATGCCTGTAGATTAATGTAGAAGACTGTAGAGATTTAGGAACCAAAGGTCTATATGGTCTTTGCAATTGAGTGACTTCTGGCTGTCATCTCTTTGAAAAACAAAATAGTTTGAGAGGAGTCAAGCTTGCTATGTCAGTTAAGAGATTCTTTTTTTTTAAGTTTTCCCTGATATCTTTCAAAAAGAAAAGTCCTTAGAGGTTCTTCAGTAATAAATGAAGAACAGTATAAGATGGATGAGCTCTGGTATTCCACTTCCCTCAATACTATAGAGGATGAAAAAGAAATGAACAACAGAGGTTATATAGGTTAGCTCTTCTAGTACATTCTGCACAAAGTAGCAGCAGCAAAGTTCTGTCTTAGTTTGTGAGACAATATTACAGCAAAAATAGGATGTTATTTTTCTGGTGAAATGTAACACTGTGTACATTTTTAAAACAAAAAATTCTTTCTTTCAGAAAAGTCCTCTTAGCTGTTATTTTGATAATGTGAATTCAGGTAATACTGAAAGCAGTAACAGAACACTGAACTCTAAATGCCACCTCCAGTTATTAGTGTTATAGCCTTCTCCTTTCTTTAGCTGAGATTCCTATATATCATTTCTGTAGAGATTTATGAATGTGCTACTATTTCCTGTTCAGCACCATTAAAGATGGTGTTAATAGCTATTCCTGGTTCTTTGTGTCGAAAGACCTTGCTTTCAGTATTTAATAATTTTCCTATTGCTACTCAGTATGGCCGGCAGTTTTAATGTCAGACATATTTATTTGACAAAAATTTTGAATAAACTGTGTCTAAACAATTTTTGCTGCTTCTATGAATGAGATTAAGGGTCAAATGCATTGTTTTGCCCCATTGTTATTAAAAATTGTGCTGACATCTTTACGCTTAAAAGCAAGGTCTTGAAATGTGGTAGAAGTGTGGTAGATTTTCCAAATGTTCCAAATTATAAGACTCAAAAATGTCTTTGTGTGTTAGACTGGTGAGGCTTGTTACTGCTCAGCAACTTGAGTTTGCAGAGCTTCTCTGGACTGAACACACTCTGACTGACTCCTGAGCTTAGTCTGTGCTGTACTCTGTAGTGCTGCCACTTTGTTTGACATGGGGAAATAAAAATCAGAGCCTGACTTGAATTTGAGGAAATATGAATGGAGAGGAGGAGGGCAAAAGCTCAAGTGGCTGCAGATAGGGAGGGTTCTTCATGGGATCCCTCCTTCTTTCAGTGTATAAGATATATGGTGCTATGGGGACAGATGAAGATTATGTATCAGCCACAATCCTCATCAGTAATCAGGATCCATGCCACATGTGTTGCAGACGTGGGGAAGTTTGGGAAGTATGTGTTGCTTCAGACAATGAATTTGTAATTAGAGTATCAGAAGGTATGTACATAAGACGTGGTTGCATAGGAGACCTTTATTCCTGATGTTGTTCCCTAGCTTTGTGGAGATTAGCCTTCAAAAGCTTAGTCACTATAGAGTCTAATGTAAGTATTCATATGTGTACTTTGTGTGTTATAGAGTTCTACATCGTGGAACAATAGGAAAAAAACCTAGAGGAGAAGTAATTGACTGCCTGCCTCCAGGCCATGTCAGTTCAAACCTGTAGCAAGCTTGGTGGATATTTATTTTAGCTATTATAAAAAGTCCAAGAGATGGAGTGTCCAATTTTCTTAAACATATTATTTGTATTATTATTTATTCTTACTATTTAAAAGCTTGTTCCAGTGTCATAATAGGTTTCCTGCTGCAGCTGCTTCAGGTCCTGTTTACAGGGTACAGAAGAGTTATTTCTTCCCTCTTGCAACAACTTACAAATTTGTGCACTTTTATCATGTTTGCTTCCATGTTATGCAAATCAAAGAATTATGTTATTTATCCACTTAAGTTATGTTTTTAGAAATTTTTTCTTTGCTTTTGATCTCTCCAGGTCTAGGTCCTTCTTGAAGTGCAGTGCTCAATACTGGAATCCACATTTCAGCAGAGGCCTTCTAATGACATGTAAAAAAAGGAATGTTTCCCAACTTATATCACTTTGCCTGCAGATATTTGTGGTGCAATTTCAGCAAAATCATGAAAAAAATTTAAGCAGCCTCAATCCTTTTTTTTAAATGTAAAACTACATTCATTGAAATGCTGTGTGCTCTGACAAAGACTTTTTGCTTCATCTGAATTCTCCTTTTTTTATTATTAACAATGAAAAGGAATATTTTCCTAATATTAAAATTACCTTTGAGGTAAAGAAAGCAAAATAAAGTTTATAATGCATAGATCAAAAACTAAACTAAAGAAAAGCCTAGAGAACTGTTAATATTATTAATGTGTCTTTTTTTCCCCACGGAAAACCTAAACCTTTCAACAAAAATATAATTTCTTTGGAATAAGTTGTTTATCAAATAAATTAATAAACATTAAACTTAAACAAATAGCATTACACATGCACAACATTCACCTTCACATTCTAACCAGTGTAGACCAATTGGGATTTTCTAGAGGTAATTTATCTGTGATAAAACATTCATGTATGTATTTGCCTTTTAATCCTAGCCATGTCCCCCTGATTCAGCACAGCCACTTCAGGCTCAGTGTTTGTCAAATCAGTGCAAAAGCCATCCTTACTCTTTCCCTTTGGAGTCAGCCTGAAAGAAAACATCTGCAAGTGGAGAGCACAGGGGCTTATCTTCTCCTTCAGTACATCTTTCATGCTTTGAGATTGGAGAAGGGCAAAATGAAAGTGATAAAATATCCACACATAAATTTGTCGAGGAAGGGGTTAAAAAAGTGGAATCTTTGTGACTGAAAAGGGCTGAATTATCTTCCTGACACCAGCAGGGGTTGCTGTCACTAGTTTGTGGTTGTCACATTCCTGTTATGCTTGACCTTGGAAAGGCTTGACAACATAGTCTGGATTTGATTAAGGGAATTTCATGTTTTTCCTTTGCTAGAGTCACCCCCCACCTCGACAAACATTTTAAAATGTTAAGGAGTAAAAAAAAAAAAGTTTGGAAAGCAAACATTTTCCCAAAAGAAATTTATAGTTCAAATTTACACCAAGTTCGCACTAACTGGAGCAGTCCGGGTTTCCAGTCAGGCTTTGAGAGCTCTCTGTAAACCATTAGTCACTTCCCTGGAAGAGGCAGCTTTTTATAGGCAGCAGGATAAAACAGACACAGATGTGTAAGTAATATTAGAGGCTTTCACATGTACCTGCCTTTTTTTTTCTGTCATAGAAAAGAAAAAAGATTGATTATAGAAAGCAATTGATTGAAGCCTTGGACTTGAACAGCTACCATGGAGATTGTTTGAATGAAAATAAAATATCTTGTGTTTGTTTCTGATTGTGATAATTTATTTAATGAAGATGGAAGTTCTTTTAATTTTATCACATTGGGTTCTTTACATCTTACAGGACTGTGATTATGCCAGCTGCCAACGAGTTTGATCCAGAAATTGTCCTGGTGTCAGCAGGATTCGATGCTGTGGAAGGCCACGACCCTCCGCTGGGCGGGTACAAAGTCACAGCTAAATGTAGGTATTGCCATTGGCACGTGTTTCTAAGTTGCCATTTTTCCTGGTTAGGAACCTTATTATATAAATCCAGTTCACATCTTTGTTTCTGTTTTGTGAGATGACAGCTGTGTCACTGAGGGCAGGGACTGTCCAGCAGTTAATGCCCAGAGATGCCTGGAGAGCTGCAGCACTTGCCCAGCTCATGGACAAGGTGGAAACAAACATGTTAGAGTTTCTGACTCACTCCTTTCTGTTCCTCTTGCCATTTTTGTCTTGACTTTTTAAAGTATTGCTTTTCTGGCATTCAAATAACATTTTAGAGGTTTCATGCTTTTCAATAGGCCTCAATTTCCAAATGCTGGAGTAAGTTACTTCTCTTTAAGTATATATTGGAGATTTTAGACTTTGGATGCCTGAATCCGATCTCATATTGCTCTTTTGTTATTGTAATCTTTTCAGCTCCATGGCATTAATCCTGAATTACATCAGTGTTTATGAAGGCCAAATTTTTCTAAAAGACTACTCTGTTGGGTCTCAATATTTGGACGTCCATTTCAGTCTTTCAAAATGCGTGCTTATGGCAGAGATTTAATACTTTCTGAAAGACAGGTCTGTCTGACATATATGTAGCACTCCAAAATCACTAGCTCTTACCAGACATTGTGGCCAAACTGATTCTGAGCCTGGGATGTTAAGCAAGGCCGGGTGATGTAGTTAGTAACTCTCTGTACAGTAATGTGCATTGTAGCATTGCTATGTATCAATTGCTTTACATGGGGCAACACAGAATGGTTTCCTAATGCAATGCTGTGAATAATTTTCTTCAGTATAACTACTTTTATTCAGTATATTGAATATCACCTCAACAGCTATTAAATATAGACCTCTGCTGCTAATGGCAAGTACCTTGGGAAAAGTCTGGGGAAGTCAATGAGACTTAATGGCATTTAAAACACTGCACAAATGGACTCCAGAGGATTTTGTCCTTCTAACCTCTGCCTTTTGTTACAGATCACTAGACCAAAACTGTTGTTTACCTCAGGAGGTTCAGGGTGTACATGCATATTTTTTATTTTAATTTTCACTGCATGCTGAACAGGCTCCCCTGAATACCAATGACAGTGATGGAGGAACAGAGTGACTGTCCATAGTGGTGTGCTGTGGGAAGGGAGAATTCAGAAAGCACTGCAAGGGTCTACCCAAGGACACTTACACAGGTGCTAATACACAAATGGGCTGGAAATGGAATATCCCTCTGGCTGCAAGTAAGACACTGAGTTTAGCACAGCTTTTCAGCTTAATGTAGTGGTTACACTGGAGAGGAAAGACACGTAGCAGGTGGTGTGCATGTTTGAGTATCATTTCCCTGTGTATTATGATTTTTAGTAAAACATTTTGCAGGAAGAGGTGAGATATTTACTCTCTGTGGTTCCTGGTCAGCAGCACTATTCCATGAGCTCATGTGGGAGGGAGGTGAACTTTCAACTGGTACTAAATTAGATATTTTGTTGAGAACCATTGTAGAACTGTCTGTATTTAGCTACAGAAGGTAGCTAAAGGTTGAGAAGGTATTTTACATATCCCTTAAGAATCCAAGATGCTTTGGAATATGTACTATTCTGGCATAGCAACTTCAACAATTTAACTAGAAATTGCAGCACATAAAAACGTTCAGACATTAGAATTAGTATTTGTTTTCATTCATGAATTAACTATTATTAATTAATTAATTAACTCTTCATAACTTTTTAAAAGAAATCTCAATACATTTTTTAATATAAGAGGCTGCATATCTACTTCTACATATGTGTCTGTAAGCAAAACACAAAAAAAATTGCCAGTGTAGATGGCTCTTGTTTAAATTAAGAGAAAAGCCAAGATAGACTCAGATAGTGATCATGCACCTGAGGGATGAATAAAGCCATTTTTACAGAGCCAAAGGAATTTATTATTTCCCCAAAACAAAATTCTCCGCATTCCACCATACTATTTTAGAGCATAACATATTATACGTGGTATGTAGGAAAATGAACAGCCTATTAAAAAAATAAGGTCCAAAGAGAAACTTTCATATTAGAGACTAAAAATATATATTTGTGCAAGGTTTTAATCTAATTTGTTTTTAATAATTAGAAATTATATGCCGACAAATAAAGTTGAACCTGTAAATATTCTTTCTTTATAAATCTTTAGCACTTCATGTACACTAAATGCATAGAATTTTCTGATTTCTATGATTTAATACAAGCTTTGCAAATTACGGAGAGATTGACATCAAAGGAGAGAAGATAGATCCTTAGCTACTAACTTTGCTCTTAAAGAGCATTTAGAAGCCACTAGATACTTGATAATGAATTATTTATGTCTTTCCCTCAGAGTACAATCTAAGAGAAAAAAGTAAAATGTATTAACCATTCAACCGTCTCAAGTTATATAGTAAAAATCATTGGATGAAGATAGCAGATTGAACTAATTACAGCCTGGAGTAACCATATAGCAGGCAATTACATTCAGCAAAAAAATGGTCTGGTAAATCTGCATAGTTTGAGAAATGTAAACTGTAATCTGCTTTAACCCAGAATTTTTTTTTTATATATTGTCATACAATCTTATTTACTGAGGAGCTGCCATTTCTGATTAGTAAAGAAACATGTCAGCCACAAAATAATTGTATATATACATATTTGCAGCTGATTTTAAATCTGTGAGTCTGTTGTGCATGTCGGGATTTCTCACAGTGATGTGGCTCTCAACTCCTCCGGAAGGCTGTAGAATGGAATCTGGCCAACTGAGATCAGTGATGATAGCAGAGCTTGGAGATATCTCACTTCCTAATTTATCTCTAGCTGTATTAAGTAATGAAATCACTAATGGTCTTTTTCCAATTAAAAAAAAATAGTGTTTAAAAAAAAGATTGAAAGGAAAGTTTGAATCTTTCCAATCCTATTGCACTTTTCAAATTACTTTCCCTATTTTTTCAACATGGCTTTGCAATTCCTCTTCATCTGTTGATTAGTTTTCACTAAACTAAGCAATATTTAACGAAGTTTTACCTGTCTGGGAAACAGATTTGTTTGGTGCAATGTAGAATTGAGAATGAACATTAAGTAAAACATTTGTTTCAACCCAAACTTTGAGGATTTCACAGGCACATTTTCCTTTATGTTAGCTCTGTGTGCCAATCCTCTCTCTTAATGAAGTGCCATGATTTCAAAAGGTGCTTGTGTAATACACCTACATACACATACACATCTTGAAATATATACTCAACCCATGTGCATAAACTTTGTGATGGATTTTATATTCTTTTAAGAGCAAAAAAGGCTTCAAAGATTTGATATGACTGGTGGCATATGGCAGAACTTGTTGCTGCTAGGAAGTTCTCAGTCCTTTGGTACAAGCTACATTCCTAATATCTTAGTCAGGAAAGGCAAGCTTTATTGACAACACTGATGAAAGGCCACCTAGCATAATTAGAAACAGGTATACTTTTGAATTCACAATCGCTTTGCCCTGAAGAAGGCCTTCCCCCCAAAAAGGATTTGTGTCAGAAAAGGACTTTGTTTTTCCAAATAAAAACTTTTTATCTGCTAAAAATATTATCTTTACTCACAGACAGTGCCTTGCCTGTGGCATTATGCTATGGGAACTGCACCAAGTTTAACATCAAAAAGCAAAGAGAAGAAAGTGAGACAAATGTCATGTTGAACTTCTCTGGTAGTCCTCTTGGTCCAGGGTCTTGCATCAGTTAAAGGAGCCAACTCTTGCTAGGAGCTTCTCTAATATATGGTGTGTTGTGTCAGGAATATTCAGGCAACTTATCTCAGATTTTGCTTTCTCTGCCCCTTCTGTAATGACTCAAGTTTGACTTCATTAGCTGAAATAGAGTACCTTTTGTAATGTGAAGTCCATCTTCAGTCCCAGCATGGCTCTGTCCCTTTTGCTTGGCTGAGTGGTTCCCCAAAATGTAAGGTGAAGGTGGGTCCAGCAGCTGGAACTCTCATACACACCTCTTATGCAAAGTGGCTGTTGGAGTCTTTGAGATCTCTTTGTTTAGATCAGGCACTGTAAAAGTCCTTTGATTTTATTGTAAAATATAATCAGGTGAGAGGAAAACATGCCTCAGTTCCTGACTGGTCCAATGGGTTTTTTTTTATTATTACAAATTTATTTTTTTCAATAAGATAATACAAAATATCAGCACCATATAACATGTATCATCAAAACATATTTTTATCAAATTCACTTTTTGTACTGGAGTGATAAAAGTGTTGACAATGAAATATAAAAAAAAGCAATGGAAGAAGAAGTAAAGGGAATAAAGGAATTTTATATTTAGAATAAAAAAGATATGTTTAAAGAGTATGAATCTACTCCTTCCTGTTATCCTGATGATCCTTGGATAGAATTACTGAAGATAGAACTGAGACATTTAGTGCTTTATTTTACAGTTAATTTTTACATTGTCTGCTAAAATATATAGTATTATCACACAATTTGAATTTTGTGTAGTGAACAAGTGTGAAGACGAGCTGTCAGATCTGATCATAAATTTACAAGTTGTTAGATCTTGTAAAGGAACTGTTTTTAAATTTAGCTCTGCTGGCTAAAGATCTCCATGTAACATCATCCTGAGGTGAAGTACTTTCTCTTTGTTTTGTTGAACAGCTCTTAGAATAATGCTTGCACTAAAGCCACTGAGATCACTTTACTGTTCAAGTAAATATTCTACATAATTGCTCATTAAATCGTGACCATTCCATAAAAAGAATAAATAGAGAGGTGTCAAGCAAGAATGAAGACTTTTATCAAGGTACTTAACTTCCTGAAGCACTGCATTTGTTAAGGGCTATGATGATTTACTGGAGTTTTCCTGTTGTTTTACTCTCGTGTTCCAAAGATGCTATTTGACACCAGAGTGCAAAATAAAATCAGCAATTAGCATTAGGAAAGGATACCACTGGGGAATTTAAAGAGCAACTGATATTTTGTCTATTGGAAAGTTTGTTTTCTGTTAT